ATATATATATATATATATATATTATATATATATTATATGATAATATGTATGTACTGAATATACCGGCCACGTATCATATATATATACCTCTTGTAATCATATAGCATTGACTACGATGTATATATGTGTATATATTGAACTTAGCATATAATATATTACCAGTCAAATTTAATTGGTTCCAACATAACTAACTAACTAATCATCTTCCTTAAATTTCCCGAAATGGAAAAACCTGAAAAAGAAGAAGAAATCGCCGTAGTAATGGTGCCATTACCAAGCCAAAGCCACCTCAACCAGCTTCTTCAACTCTCCTACCTCATATCCTCCGGCGGCCTACCTGTCCACTTCCTCGGCTCCGCCACCCACAACCGCCAGGCAAAACTCCGCTCCTCCCACCACGGCCTAAACCCTAACTCCGCCGCCGCTAACACCATCCACTTCCACGACCTCCCCACTCCTCCAATCCCCACACCCGACCCAATCTCGAACTCCACCGACAAACTCCCCACCCACATGGCGCCGGCCGTCTTAGCCTACATGGCGCTACGCGAACCCATCGCCGAGTTCCTGCGGCGGCTGTCGGAGAAGACGAAACGCGTCGTCCTGATTCACGACTGGCTCGTCGCGGAAGCGGTATCCGACGACGCCGTTTCGATTCCTAACCTAGAAACTTACGCATTCAACTGTATGTCGGCGGTCAATCTGTTTTACATACTGTGGGAAACGGCGGGCAAGCCGTTCAGTCTCGCCGGAGAACCAAACGAACTCGTCGTCCCTTCCGTGACGGAGTTTTTCCCGGAGGAGATAATTAATTTCATAGCGGTAAAACCGGAGCATTTCAAGAAAAGAGATGGAGATATCTTCAACACCACGAGATTGATTGAAGGAAGGTACATTGAATATCTCGGGAGACGAGAAATCGGAGGAGTTGAGAAACAGTGGGCTATCAGACCAACGCTCCTCCTCCGGTCGAGAAATCCCGCCGCCGGAGAATTAAATCTCCGGCGTCATAAATGCATGGAGTGGCTGGATAAACAAGCTCCGAAATCCGTGGTGTACGTTTGTTTCGGAACGAGTGTTTCTTTGTCGGAAGAAGAAGCTAAGGAGATTGCGTTAGGGCTTGAAGAAAGCAAGCAGAAATTTCTGTGGGTTTTGAGAGATGCCGACAAGGCGGACATATTCGCCGGAGAATCAAGAAAGATCGAGCTGCCGTTAGGGTTTGAGGAGAGAGTGAAAGAAGATGGAATGGTGGTTAGGGATTGGGCCCCACAGGTTGAGATCCTGGCGCACGAATCGGTGGGTGGGTTTATGAGCCACTGCGGCTGGAACTCTTGCTTCGAGAGCTTGGTTATGGGTGTGCCGGTGGCGGCGTGGCCGATGCATTCCGACCAGCCGTTGAACGCTGTTTTCTTGACGGAGGTTCTGAAGGTCGGGGTGGTTGTGAGGGAGTGGGCACGGCGGGAGGAGGTGGTGGAGGCGGCGGTGATTGGGAAGGTTGTTGAGAGGTTGATGGCGTCGGAGGAGATTAGGAGGACGGCTGTGGAGCTTAGCGCCGCCGTGAAGAAATCTATGGAGGACGGCGGTGAATGTTCTAGGGAAATGGATAGTTTCATTGCTCATATTACTAGATGACCGACTAGTATTACTTTTTTTTTTTAATATTTAAATATTTCTGACTACGTTTCAGGGGGCTAAGTGTAATTATCGATACCACAGGGACCTTACAGTTATTTAAGCTTACCTCAGGGGGGTGTGTGTAATTTACCCATAATTATATTATATTATAATATACTTTTACGGTGCATGCGATTAAAAGACAAAAGTAATTCATTGCAAGAAAAATCCAATACTAGATCACATGCATGTTTGTGGCTTATACTATGCTACCATGGTTATCGGATCGTAAAAATATCTCGTATCGTTTTGCTCCACGTCTCGTATCGTATCGTTATCGTACCGTATCGTAAGATATTTAACCAACTATTAAAATAGTAAAAAATATATCTACATTATAAACATACTATAAATTTGTAAAATTTAATATAACTACTTATTTCAAACTAGGTATAAATTCAATTTCAACATCATATTATAAAATATGACAAAAATCATATATGTTCATCAAATAACATCATTTAAGAGGGTGTTTGACTAGGCTTATAAGATGTTAAAACGAGCTTATAAGATGTTTAAGAGCTATTCCAGTGTGCTAGGTAATTTTTTTTCAAAAGATCTTAAAAAATCAAAATATTATATGCTACTCGAGAGCAAATAAGATTTTTTTTTAAAGTACCTTTACCCCACCTATTTATTTAAGATCTGATAATGAGTAAAATAGCTTGTAAGATCACTATCCAAACACTTGAATTTTTTTTTTTAAAAGTGAGACGTAACAACTTATCAGCTCTTAAAACAGCTTATAAGATGTAAATAAGCTTAGCCAAATTCTCCCTAAGTTCAAATCCGAATACCTAATTTCTAAAATATTCGATATCTCATAATTTTGAATATCAGTGTCACTTAAATCGTCCTCATCTACCAATTTTAAACGATTGCATTCATCATCATCAATCGCAAAATCCAGCAAAAAAACGCCTCGAATTGGTCTTGAATCGCAAGAATCTATAGCAATTGAATTAGGGTTGTAATATTGTGAGAATTGGTGAAGAAAGTGAAGAGTAAAGTGTGAATTAGGGTTGGGATATTGAAGAAATCTGTTCTAAACCGTTTTTGAGAGCAGTTGACTGCATTTCTTGTTTTTTTTCTTCTTTTTTTTCATTTTTTTAAATATCGTAAATATCGTATCGTATCGTGATACAGCGATACGATACGATATCTCGCGATATTTAACGGTATTTATCAATAGGCGATACATAACCCGAGTCGTATCGTCTTGATTGGAACCATACCGTATCGCGATATATATCGCGGTATATCGCGAGATTAACTACCATGTATGCTACACCAGGTGAAATACATCGGGTAGATCTTTACCATTCATATACACACAGACACATACACCCACATTGGTGATCTACAAAATCACTTGGTGTAACCTTCACCGGATGTAGCATAGAAATAACCGATCACATGTTTTTGTGTATATATGTATATAATATATATATTCCGCACGTGTGTCCCTTTCTTTGATGGCTGTGTGTAGGAGTTACTCTATATAGTAACTTCCATTTGAGCTTCAACACACCACAACTTATAACTAATATGGAAAACCAGACAAACAATCCCTCCGCCGCCGCCGCCGCCGCCGCTGCCGCCGCCATTGACAACACCACAGAAAAAGCTCAAGTTACAGTAATCATAGTCCCGTTTCCGGCACAAGGCCACCTGAACCAGATGCTGCAGCTCTCCTGCCTCATTTCCTCCTACTCTATCCCCGTCCACTACGTCGGCTCCGCCGTCCACAACCGCCAGGCCCAACTCCGGTCCAACGGCCTAAACCCTAACGACGTCGCCGGAATCAACTTCCATGACCTCCCGATTCCGCCGTTCGCCTCTCCTCCACCGGATCCCAACTCCGCCAACAAGTTCCCGGCGCAGCTCCAGCCGGCCTTCGACGCCACTTTAAACCTCCGGCAACCACTCGCCGACTTCATGCGGACCATGTCGGAGAAGCACAGGAGGGTTGTCGTTATTCACGACCCGCTCATAGCTTCCGTCGTCGAGGATATCGTCTCGATACCCAACGCCGAATCGTACGCGTTCAACTGTATATCGGCGTTCTGCGACGTGAAATACTTGTTCGAAATGATGGGGAAGCCCTGCCCGGTGCCACGTCTGCAAGAACTCCCCACCATTGAAGAGTGCATTACAGATGGGGTTCTGAGATTCATCGCGTTGCAGAATGAGGGTTTGCAGCTCAGAAATGGAGATCTCCACAACACGTGTCGACTTCTGGAGGACCCTTATTTGGACATACTCGAATCCGAGGAGATCGCCGGAGGTCGGAAGAGTTGGGCTATCGGCCCATTAATTCCGGCTAAACTGCCGGAGAAAACAGACGGCCGCCGACACGACTGTCTGACGTGGCTGGATAAACAGGAACCGAAGTCTGTGATGTACGTAACTTTCGGGACGACGACTACATTGACGGACGAAGAAATCGAAGTTGTTGCTAATGGTTTAGAACAGAGCAAACATAAGTTTCTTTGGGTTTTGAGAGAAGCTGATAAAGGTAACGTCTTTGACGGAGAAGAAAGACGGGAAATCCAACTTCCGTCCGGTTTCGAACGGAGAGTTGACGGAGTTGGGATGGTGTTCAGGGAATGGGCCCCACAGCCGGAGATATTGGCGCATGAGTCGGTGGGTGGATTTATGAGCCACTGCGGGTGGAATTCTTGCATAGAGAGTATAACTATGGGCGTTCCGATTGCCACGTGGCCGATGCACTCCGACCAGCCGACGAACGCCGTTCTCGTGACGGAGATACTCCGGACAGGGTTGTGTGTGAAGGAGTGGACGAAGGAAAGGGAAATGGTGGTTATAGCGTCCACCGTGGAGAGTATTGTGAGGAGATTGATGGGCTCGGAGGAAGGCGCTGAGGTCAGAAAGAGGGCGGAGGATCTGGCGGCGGTGGTCCGGCGGGCGACTGAGGAAGGCGGCGCTTCTCGACTTGAGTTGGACTCGTTCGTTGCCCATATTACTAGACAGAATGAATGATGATGATCAGTTATTTATTGTATATTACCAATATGCCCTTGGGCTTAAGCATGTTATTATAGGCCCATTAATTTGGTCTAGTGGGCTTTTGTGAATCTTACAGTTTATCAATAAGCGGCCCGGCCCGCATCCAATTCTAGATTTATCACTTGCTCAATAATCCCAATCAGGCCTCTATTGGGTATTAGGTTGGAAGCCCAATCTTCGAAATTTAATTAAGCATATGAACTGAAATGTTGAATGTCGTTTCAATTTTATTAATACCGTTTTGACTTCGAACCTAATTTTAATATATTTCTATTTTGATTTTGGCAAAAATTCGAAACATGAAAACTGTAGTCCTTTGAGTTAGCTTTGTAATCCAACTTAAATCCGCTAGATTGGATGCTGACAAAGTTATGTATGAATGAGTCACATTTTGAATTTTAGATACCTCAATACATCAAAGTTGTGGGCACTGGGCAGTATCCATTGATTCATGTATATATTTCTCGTCCGACATCCAATTTTGGTGATTCAAGTTCGATTAGGAAACTAACTCAGAATACTACAAATTCTATTTTTCGGGTTTTGCAAAATTTGGAATTAAAAATGATCAAAATCACATTTAAAATCGTAGTGGTATTATTAAAGCTCGAACGACATTTATCATATTCCGCATATGAATGGTATTTAGTGCAACTTCAACCCCTATTAATATTACACAATTATATAAAGATACTACAAAGCTCAAAGGCAGCCGAGACCCACACCCACTTACAAAGTCTGTCACTAGCCCTACGTGGAGAAGATATAGACGGTGGATGTGACTACATTCGGCCCGTCGACCGAGAAAGGCAAGAAGCATGCGACTTGACATTCACTGGGAAAATGTCCACTTGCTACAGAAGCAATCACACAAGCGGGCTCTCTCCATTGAATCGACTTGCTCGCAAGGAACGAGACAACTCGCTCTCATCAGAGAACTCAGCTCGAAGTAATCACATCACTCCCACGTGTGATAATTTGACTGTAGACAAACAGAGCATGGGACCCACCACCCCAGCCCTACGACGTGTATAAATACAGTCTTGAGGCACAAGAAAAATGGCTCTCTATGGTATTCCAAACACACTTATTTTCACTATATCTCTTTAGATACCCCTATATTGTTCCCTCACAATTCTAACTCACTTGACCGTCGCAGTGCTAATGTCGAGAAACCCTTAACCCGACACTCCTTTTTGCAGGTCTTTCAAAAACACGTGAGCTTCCTGATATAAGTCAAATCTCCTGAAAAAAACGATCGCATTATTCTTCAAATATAAGCCGTCATCCTACTTGTGTTGCGTCACAAACAAACGTTAGGGCGCCGAGATCTTGTACTGCAAAAACCCTCTGACGTCCAAGTCAACCATGAATTCTAGATAATAAAGCTTCGTAGAAAATCTTATGCAAATTGGGCCCCGGCCCTAATTGAACTTAATTAGTTCAAATGCACCTAGTGGGCTAAACTTAAGTAAACATTGGGCTTTTCCCTATGCATTGAAATTATAATTAATTTCGGCCCGAGGCCCATCAGAAACATATATGATATTAGAAGGGATTTGCTTTTTACCGTTTGAAAAAGGCTATTTACCGTTCAAAAAAACTCTCTCTCTCTCTCTCTAAAAAAAATTGCTCTCAAGACAATTTCTTCACAAATCATTCTTATTGGTGTGATATACGAACATAAATGAATTTATCGAATGAAGATCGGGATAGCGAACACAGCGAGGTAAAAATTCCGTCTTTTCGATCGAAAAAACTGGGCTAAACATTCAAAAGCCCAACTTGGGCGCCCGACAGTGCA